AATAGATACTACGTGATCCTAGCTTATATAAGCCTAATTACGTAACTAGGCGTTAATAGGGTATCGCTTAGTCTTAATAATAAGATAGAAAGCGACTATAGATTCTACTCCTTCTTTCTACGGTCTTCGGCTACTTCTACTATAGATCCTAAAACTTATCCCTCGGACAGTAAGGATAAGTACTCTCCGATAATAGTTTAGTTTAATAATCGCTACGCTATATAGCGTTAATTTACGAAGATTAAATTATATTTAATAGTATTAACGCGCTAAAAGTTACGAGTAAGTATTACGAATTAAACTCGTATAAAGCTCTAGAGTACGCCCTAGAGCGATTACTCGTAGTATACCTTTAGGCTATATAACTATATAGCCGAAGCTACGTAATTCCTCTCTATCGATTATCTCCTAGGAAACTATACTAATCTACTATAGGAGAGGCTAGGGAGTATTTCCTTTATTCGTATAGTAGATAGATTTTCTCTTTTCTTTTCTCTCCTTAGCTTTAGAATCCTCGTTATACGATAGTTAGACGAATTACTCTAAATTCCTAGTTAAACTCTTATATTATTCTAAAGCTTCCTATTATACGTAGCGAAAGAGTATCGCGTACGAAATAGATAATAAATAGTAACTAACGAAAACCGCTCTAGCGTAGACGGTAGAGCTATACTAGCTCTTATAGGCTTAAAACTAAAGGATAATAGTACTCGAGGATTAACTCGGCTAATAGAATAGAATACGAGCTCGTACGCTTAAAGTAACGACTTCTACGATAGCGAGCGCTATATAGGAATTCGATTCTATACGACGAAAGGCTAAGCTCCTCGAGCTAGCTAAATTTAATAAAAAAAGATTAGAGTTTCGACTATAGCTTACTTAAGCTCGAGTTAAGTTAGCGGTCGATAAGTAAGAGAAAATCGAAGTCGTACGATTTTAGTATTTCTATAGTAGACTAAGGAGCTATATCTTTACCTAGATTAGTCTATAGATTAATTTCGTATAATTAACCCTCGAAATAAATACGAAAGAACTTATTAGTTAATTAAAGGTAGCGTACGAGGACGTCGACGTCGTAGAAAGAGTATTACGAAAGCTTTCTTAGCTAAAGTAGAACGAAAAGTCCTTTAACGTATTTCTCGTCGAGTTTAATCGTACGCTACTCGAGGCCGGCGGACTAAACTAGGCCGATTCGATAAAGAAGACGTTTATATTAAACTACCTTTCGTATAACTTAAAGAGCGTCCTCGTTATAACGCTAATTCTATTAACCTATAGAGAGTACTATATTCTTCTCTATATAATTAGTATAAATCTAGAGGCTCTTTAATAGAAGAAAGCTAGAGAGAAGATATTTAGGAGTAATCTATTTAATACTACTAGTCGTATAAAAAATAAGATAGATTAGGCGCCGATAGTATAAACTATAGCGTCCTTAGCGGGACTATAGAGAGCCTTATAGGTATCGTAAACGATACTTAACTAGAGAAGGAAGCTCGGAGCGTATCTTCGCTATAGCTAACGAAGTTACTTTATCGTTAAATATTCTCTCCTTTCCGCCGTACGACTTAAAATAAAGAGGAGAGTAGTAGTACTAGAGACTATAAACGATAATAAGGAATCGTTAAAAGAGTAGCTCTTACTAGAAGTCGTCGGTAGGAGCGTATAAAGAAGACGAAGAAGGAATAGAAAGCTTTTCGGCCCTTAATAGATAACTAATCCTTTATAGTTTTATTACTTTTAGATAAGTAATATTATATATCGGCTCTAATTAATTCTAGTTATTTATCGTATAATTTAATTAATTCTCGCTTCGCTTCTTATTATTCTTTCGAGCGTATTCCTATTACTTCTTATTTAATCTCCGAATTCGACTCCTTTATATAATCTAAAATTTCCGAAGTAGTAAAGGTTAAAATCGATATCGATAGCTATAAGGAAATAGTATTCTTCTATATTATTTCGAACCTAGTATACGAAATTATCCTTAGGCTACTCTAGATAAAGAAGAACGACGTATATTTTAGCGCCGCGAATAATTCTCTCTTAATAGGCTATTTCGATCTAAAAGTCTATAATATACTACGAAAACTACGTATATCCTTAGACTATAGCTAGGTCTTCGTCGTAATATTCGATCTACTAGTTTAGAGAAGTAAGAAGTATACGAAGACCTAGGTATTCTCGGCGATAATAGCGAATATTAAAAAAGTACTTAAAGTAAAGACGCCTACTAATTCGCGTACGAAGCTTCCTCGATAATACTATTAATTCTTAGACGTCTTTAGTCGTACGAAAGTAGAGAAGTTACCTCCTTTACGAGAAAAGAAAATTAACTACGTAATCGACCTCGAACTAAAAGATAGAAAGAAATCTTAAGTTTCGTAGAGCTCGCTATATAATATATCTCGAGACGAACTTCTAGTACTATAATATACGCTTACTAAACTCCTCGATAAGGAATTTATTAAAGTAAGTAACTCGTTAGCGACGGTTCTAGTTTTCTTCGTACGAAAGCTAGGAGGAGGATTACGATTTTATATTAACTATTAAGGGCTAAATAAGTTAAATATCTATTACTATTAATCTACGAGACTCTACGAAATATCGAATAAGTAAAGTAGTATACGAAGCTCGATATTATCGCGGCCTTTTATAAAATTCGAATTATAAAAGGAGATAAGTAAATAATAATATTTCGTATAAGATATAGCCTTTTCGAATAGCTAGTTACTTCTTTTAGATTTATTAACGCGCCTAGTACGTTCTAGAAGTATATTAACTAGGCCTTACGAGATTATCTTAACGTTTTCTACTCGGCGTACGTAGATAATATCTTAATCTATTCTTCGGAAATATAACGAGAGTATTAAAACTACGTACGAAAAGTCTTAAGTCGATTCCGCGAAGTAGAGCTTTAGGTCGATATTAATAAATACGAGTTCGAAGTTAAGTTAGTAAAGTACTTAGGATTTATTATCGACGCGGAATAAGGTATATAAATAAACCTAGTAAAGATTATTATAATCTAAGAATAGTAAGCTTCTAAGTCTATTAAAGGCGTCTAGAGTTTCGTCGATTTCGTAAACTTCTACCGAAAGTTTATTAAGAATTTCTCGAAGATAATTCTATCGATTATAAAACTCGTACGAAAGAATTCGACTTTCTATTAAAATTCGAAAGTCGATATAGCGTTCGTACGACTAAAGAAGATATTTATAATAGCTTCGATCCTCGCTCTATTTAACTATATAAAAGAAATATTTCTAGAAGTTAATACTTCTAAATAGTATATAGGTAGTACTTTATTCTAGATAGAAGAAGACGATTTCGTACGACCCTATATATTCTTTTTAAAAAAGAATTTATTCGCGGAATATAATTATAAAATATATAATAAAGAAATACTAGCTATTATATATTATCTTAAAGAATAGAACGCTAAGTTAAGAAGCGTAAATAAGTTCGAGATATAATTAAATTATAAGAATCTAGAGTACTTTATAACTATATAAAAGCTTACGAAGAAGTAAATATAATAGTCTCTTATTCTCTTATAATATAACTTTACGATCTTCTACTTTAAAGGAAAGAATAACGTATAAGCCGACGCGCTATCGCGAAGAAAATAAGATATATCGAAAGAAGAGAAGAACGATCGACTATAGTATTATACGATAAGACTACTAAAGCCGAAGTTCTTCGACGCGAAAGGAACGATTTAAGTAGCTTTCGTATAAGTAGAAGAATCTCCTACCGAAGACTAACTAGCGAGTAACGTAGTTAATATTAACTAGTTTACGATAGTAGAGTCGAATAAAACGTACGAGTAGATTAAGAATTTAATTACTCGAAGAGTATCGAAGTTTCTATTATTTCTAGCGGTAAAAGTATCTATTACTAAGTATATAATCGATAGCTAAGGAAATATATACTTTCGTAGAAGACTATAGATTTCGAACTTAAAACCTTTACGTATATTCTTAATTTAAGAAATCTACGACTTAGTAATTAGCGAATACTTCGGGCGGAAGGTAACGAGCTCTTTAATAGTAAGATAATTCTTCTAGCCGAATATACTATAGGATATCTAATAATTTATACGAAACTACGATACCTATAGACGAATAAAAGCCTAGAGGAAAAGGAAATAAGAATTCCTAAAACCTTTCTCCGTACCGAACCGAATATAGAGCGAGATATCTATCAACTTTATTACGAAGCTTCTAGAGAGT